GAGGGAAAATCACGAGGTAATGGGAAAATCGAAGGAGAAAAAAGTTCATATGGCGGCGAGGCAAAAAAATGTCCCGTAGTATGGAGGGTATGTTTGAGGGTAAACCACTGTAACCGACGACTTTCAGGCTAGGGGGACCACAGGGGGAGAAGAACGATTCCTCTTCATCTTGTTCTTCTCATTCTGCTCTGTATACTATATACTATACTATACTATACTATACTATACTATACTATACTATACTATACTATACTATACTATACTATACTATACTATACTATACTATACTATACTATACTATACTATACTATACTATACTATACTATACTATACTATACTATACTATACTATACTATACTATACTATACTATACTATACTATACTATACTATACTATACTATACTATACTATACTATACTATACTATACTATACTATACTATACTATACTATACTATACTATACTATACTATACTATACTATACTATACTATACTATACTATACTATACTATACTATACTATACTATACTATACTATACTATACTATACTATACTATACTATACTATACTATACTATACTATACTATACTATACTATACTATACTATACTATACTATACTATACTATACTATACTATACTATACTATACTATACTATACTATACTATACTATACTATACTATACTATACTATACTATACTATACTATACCATACTGTGCTAGGTATAGTATAGTATAGTATAGTATTAGTATATAGAGTATATATATATATTCTTAGTCGTCCCCGGAATGCCCCGGAAGTGGTCAAACTAAGGCCCAAAATGGATGTTTTTTCCTAATATGGAATGGGTTGACACTTAGCGGGAGGCACCTAGATTTATCATAGTTATCAGCAGAGTTCAAGGCCTTGAAGGTGTCTCCCATCCCTGCCGGTAATGCTCCTACTGTGTCACCGCAGTTCGCTACCCATAACACCTTCTGGCCGCAAGCCACTGCCGTGATGACCGAAATGCAGGCGATGAAATGAGAAGCTAGGATCATCCTAGTATCAAGTTCTAGACACTGACAAGCATAACATGGCCGTGCTCGGAGATATTTATGGCCGAAGTTAGAATATCTTGGATACCACTCTTCGCTAATGCGTCCTCTTAGATGAGCGAACGTGACCACAAATAGGCATCAGCAAGGAACCGTATTTGGCTTCGTTGTTGCCACGGCTCTCAGGGAAAGTCTAGTACATACTGTACATAATGATGGGGAGCAAGATTGAACAAACAGGTGTTATATTTACATTTCTCTCTGTGTGTCTGTGCATATGTTATTAATAGTGACCTGTGGTCAAATATTCTTTCAAGTATACGGACCTACATTCTACTTCAGGCTGAGATTTGGTCCTCGTGAATAATGATTCGGGCATTGCGGCTGCAGACGGCAAGCGTGTGTTCTGCTTATGAATGTACAAGGGTTTTTTTTTTCTTTTTTTTTTTCTTTTTTTTTTTTTTTTTGGGGCCCCTTTAGGAAGGGTACTTCACCCTGGATAACGCAGAGAGCAACGATAAAGCCATGGAAGTAATTGGCGGCGAGCTTGGCTTCGTGGGATCAACAAGGCGCGGCCGCTGTTTTGGCCACACTCTAAACCTCTCTGCCAAAGCTCTGCTTTTTGGCCACAACGTTGAGGCGTTCGAGGAGCAGTTGTCAGGTGCAGCAGCCTTGTCCGAGGCAGAGCACACGCTTTGGCGGCGCAAAGGACCTGTTGGAAAGCTGCACAATCTAGTCGTTGATGTTAGAAGGTCAGATCAGCTTACTTATTTGCTGCGGAGTATACAACGATCTGAATTCGACATGTCTTCGGATCCTAGAATTAGAGCGAGCCAGCCCGTGGATTTGATCATTGACAACGATACCCGGTGGCTTTCTCAATTGTATATGATCAGGCGCGCCATCACTCTTCGGCCCTACCTCGAACAGCTCATATTGAAGCATCGTCAACAATGGGAGCAAGAGAATAGGTCGAAGAGGACAGGCAGTGTCAGGAAGTCAGCCAAGGAACCCCGAATTTGCTTGGAAGAAAACCAGCTAACAGCTCATGATTGGGCTGTCCTCGAGCACCTAGCTACGCTTCTGGGGTTCTACGAGGATGCTGTCAAGACTCTAGAGGGTGATGGTCAGCTGCGCAAGCGGAAGCGAGGATGGGTTGGCTCCTATGGGAATGCATGGGAAGTCATCCAGGGCTTCGAGTTCCTTTTGGAGGTCCTCGAGGAGTATAAGCAACTTGCGTCTGGAATGCCCGATCCGGAGCACTTTAGAATCAACATCAATTTAGGATGGGAAAAGCTTAATAAATACTACTGTGCGTTGGACGAGACACCAATCTATTATACGGCTTTAGCCCTGCACCCGGCTTTCCGATGGGGATATTTCGAGAATGAGTGGAAGGACAACACGAAATGGGTGACGAAGGCGAAGCAAATGGTTCGAGAAGTGTGGGAGACAGAATATCGCCACCTGCAGGTAGTCCCAAGTCCCGTGGTGGTGCATGAACCGGTTGCTAAGCGGCAGCGGAAGTACTACAATCCCTTTCAGGCGTACTGTGAACGCACTCGTCCGGTCTCTGGATGCAATGTGGTGAAAGAGGAAGTTTCTTTGCCCGGCTGCATTGACGAGGATGTTGACGAATTGGAACTATGGCAGTCGTCGAGGGAGGACGGGGACAGCGATGTTAGGGACCCAATAGCGTATTGGCATGAGCGCAGACGACGATATCCCCGCCTGTCGCGAATGGCGCTGGATTTCCTTACGATTCAGCCAATGTCAGCAGAATGTGAAAGATTGTTTGCAGCGGCAGGACGTATGGTGACAGCGCTGCGAAGTCGGCTTGATGCTGATATAATAGGGATGTGCCAAGTGCTGCGTTCGTGGTTACGGGCTGGGGTGATAGACGACCTGGACGTAATGCTTCTTCCCGTTGAGGAGAGTGCTGCTGAGGAGGGTACTAGTGATGAGACGCATGAAATGGTGTGGTGAAGACAATAGAAGATGCAAAGCAGCAAAATGGCGGAAGAGACGAGTTGGAGTAGAAATACGTGCGATCTGTATGACGTCAAGTCAACTGGTGGACATTCAACTCAATTTGAGCCATAATTGATCAACTCCACGGAAAAGTATCGTTGACGAGGTCAACTCAACGCAACTGAAGCAATCAGTGGATTGAATTGAGTGGTGCGCACCCTTGAATTATTAATACATAAGACAAAAGAAATATACAAGAATTGCAACCTGTTAGGTTCTCAGCGCTTACGAAATATGAAAGGCTAGCTAACCAACTGAGGGGATTTAACTGATTGGGGTACCTTTTCTAGTGAAGGTGGAAGAACTTCATTCTTCAAGCAAGACAATGAGACAGGACAGACAAGAACACATCACATCCTTACAGTACTTTCAAGATAGAGCGCTTTCCATAATAGTTCCACAGCATTTCTGACAATTAAGAGTCTCATTTTGAATATCGAGCTATTCGCGCGACCACGAGATATATGTCGCGTTGCGCGGTTGTAATTCTTGTGTATTCATGGCTGTCTTCAGAAATACAGAAAAAATTCCCCTCTTTTATCATCAGAGAAACCTAGGGGTTTCTCCTCCCCGAGGTTAACCAAGTTAACAGCTCTATTCAACACTATAGTGGCACGCACAGAGAAACTGGCAAGGATGACTCCACGAAAAATCTAAAGCCCGAGCTATCAGCGATAATATCTCGGACCACGTCAATTCAGACACCAATGATAAGCTTTAGGAGAACAACCAATGCCAGACAGTGGCAAGTGTGCAAGATGCCAAATTATTCATCCGGGAAACCCAAGTAATCAATGCAGTCAGTCCCAAACTGTGGGACGGAGCCGCAGGATAAGTAAGATCAACGTAGAAGCGGATGTCCCAGATCACTCATTCCATCACCAACGTTTCCCACAGTCGTTCGAACGAACATATCCAACTCTTATGGCACGCGGGCTACATGATCATTTTCCTTCGAACAGATCGACCTATGACTTGGAGGTTAGGATCTGAGCGTAAGTGGCCCAAGACTCTAAAGGGAAGCAGACATCTATAAGCAAGCTTCGCACCTGGCCGAGGAATCATCAGTGACCGCCTCTGGATGACGTGTTGCGACACTGAAGGTACAATCCGCGGCAAGGCACGGGACCGATATCAGCATGTGATCTTGTTGGCTTGGTACGAGTCATGTACTAAGCATGACACGCAGAAGAGTTCCTGCCTAGTGGCACGGACCGTGCCACTAGGTATTTATATGTATGAGAGCTGTCAGCCAGAATTTAATAGAAGTAAGTTCAATCGCAACAGATCTAACCGCTTAAGACGACACCACAGGACCTCGAGACGTGGATCAAACCGTGGAGAAAGGCATTTGCCTATGCCAAGGTTCAAGACGTAGCCGATGTTGCTCATTCAGTCGACTGGCTCAAAGATGTAAGCAAGAGAGTCATGGACATGCTGCCTGCTTGGGGCTCATCCTTCCGAATGGGCATCTAGCTCTACACACAACTATGTGACGGTACAACGGCATGAGCAAGATCGAGTGCGGCTTGGATAGAGCAATTGTTGACAAGGTGTCGGATAAAGCTGCCTCTGTTGATTGAACAAGCAGACTTGACGTAATTGCTGGATGTCATAAAATCATTGATATCAGGAGTTTGAGAGGCTGGCCAGCCACCCTGATTTCATCAGGTGGCTGGGAAGTCTTTTAAACTAAGGATAAATGACATGAACCCTTCTGAAGGATGGAGAACAAGAACAATAATTTTTATATTCAAGAAATAAGCTTAGTTAATAATGAGTCTCATAACGTGACAGTTATGAGCCCGGACCCGCGTCATAAGTTGTCAACAAGAACAACCACACTGCGAAAAATTGCACAACGATTGAACACAAAGGCAGTGATCGTGAGACAGTTAGCTAAGTTACAATAATTCCTCCTGAATACGTAAAGATGCCGCCTTCCAAGACTGAAGTTATCCTCACGGGGATCGACAACTGGGATGACTGGCAGAAGTTTGTTGCAAGCTTAATTGATATAGACATCTGGGAGGCAATCAAGCCAACCAACCGAACTCAAGTGCTTCTACGAAAGCCAAGAAGACCGCAAGTATCTGATTTTAACGCAAACGCTCAGACTGAAGTCAATCTTTCGGCATCTCAAGTCAATGCTTTCAGACTAGCCCGCGATAATTGGAAAGACAGTTCCAAAGAGTATGAGCAGCAGAAAAACAATCTCATCAAAGCGAAAAGTGTTGTTATCAGCCATGTGGATGATAGATTAGGTCGTTATCTTGATCAAGACCAAGATCTCCCCCGCTGGATTGACAGTCTATCTGTAGCAGTCAACGCCGAACAAACCAAGGCAACAGACGCACTTGTGCTAGAATATCAGAAGATCATCCAGTCATTCAGTTGCACCGATTCAACGAGTTTTGCTAGCTGGATCTGGAAGTGGGAGAATTTCCTCCTGAAAGCTGCACGACATCGAATGCTTGAAGTAGCAGGTGGTCGTTGGTTATTCGACATCGCCCGCCTTATGGCCAAACATAACGGCAACTTCACCGATAACTGCAGACAAGCAGCAGAATCACTTGTTTTAAAGACAAAAGACTACAACCAAGCCGTCGAGCGAGGAGTACAACAGCTATTACATCTAAACGACCTCAGTGACCATGGCAGACTACGAGAAGCCGCACTGGCAATTCAAGGGGCTCTAATTCACACCCCTCCCAATGCCACGGACGCGAGCAAGGAATGGTCAATTGCAAGTGTAGCAGTCAAGTTACGGACCTGGGCTAGCTCAGCCTTGCCATCACAAGCAAACCCTACAGTTAAACGGGGAACTGCTTTTCAAGCCGCTAGGGACGAACCCAACGATGACGCCGGCACAAAGAAAGGACGACCCAGCAAGAAGAGACCTAGGTCGGAAAAGAACCAAGAAAGCATTAAAAGACAGGCCACCAGTTGTGAAGCCTGTGGGGCTCCTTGGCATGACCTTAATTCTTGCTGGAATGCGATTCCTGAATTGAGACCAAAAGGGTCTACGCCGAACGAGCGTTGGGTTAGCGTTGCTAAAAAGGCTCTAGCTGCGGACCCTGTATTAAAAGCTAAGGTTGACAAAATACGCGAGGCAGCCAGGAACCGAGAAAAAGAAGAATCAGATTGACAATCCAAAAGCCTCCGAGTCAAAGGACGAATCGTGGGACAAGCACTTCCACAAGGGGCGGCATTCTCTGTCTGTGTGGGAAGCTGCTTGCAAGTCGATAAGTATCCTTTGCAGTCGTCAACTATTCTTGACTGTGGGGCTACTTTACATATCTTCAATGATCTAAGAAGATTTAAATCTATCAGAAAGGCAGTCACAGGTGACTATCTAATAGCTGGAGACTCAGAAGTCCAAATTGAAGGTTATGGCCGAGTCGATTTACCAGTTATAAGACTAGATGGATCAATTGGCATACTGCGAATCAAGGACGCTGCATATTGTCCTACATTTGCTGTCAGCATTGTATCCTTCCAGTGTCTTTATGATCGGGGCATCCGTTGGGATACAATCTCTACGCCAACACGGCTAATCCATAAGTCTGGAACACCAATCTGTATGATTCAGAGATATCATAAACAATGGGTTCTTCAGTATGAAGAAACAACAGATGCAAGCTTGAAAGCGGCAGCAGCCTACATTGCCAGACGAAAAAGGCGGACTAGTCGAGATCAAAGAGCAATTGCTATTGCAGACGGAACGCTGTGGCACAACCGACTAGGTCACCCTAGTCCAAAGACCCTTGAGCAGCTAGGAAAGAAATGCATTGGAGTCAGGCTTAAAGGACCAAAAACTGTGGAATGCGACCACTGCGGCCGAGGCAAGATGCGCCGGCAGATATCACGGAGGCGGCCAATAAGACCAAACAAACCACTTGAAGAAATCTGGGTTGATTGGACCGATCTTACGGAAGATTATCAAGGTTATTCACGAGTGATGTTTATCACGGACGCATATTCAGGTCTTGCTTTCCCATACTTTCTAAAAAGCCATGGACTAGGCAAAGAAAACCGAAGAATCCTGAGAGACTTCTTCAACTGGATAGAGGTTCAGTACAGTTTCAAGCCAAAAGCCATACGACCAGCATTGTATCCTTCCAGTGTCTTTATTATCGGGGCATCCGTTGGGATACAATCTCTACGCCAACACGGCTAATCCATAAGTCTGGAACACCAATCTGTATGATTCAGAGATATCATAAACAATGGGTTCTTCAGTATGAAGAAACAACAGATGCAAGCTTGAAAGCGGCAGCAGCCTACATTGCCAGACGAAAAAGGCGGACTAGTCGAGATCAAAGAGCAATTGCTATTGCAGACGGAACGCTGTGGCACAACCGACTAGGTCACCCTAGTCCAAAGACCCTTGAGCAGTTAGGAAAGAAATGCATTGGAGTCAGGCTTAAAGGACCAAAAACTGTGGAATGTGACCACTGCGGCCGAGGCAAGATGCTCCGGCAGATATCACGGAGGCGGCCAATAAGACCAGACAAACCATTTGAAGAAATCTGGGTTGATTGGACCGATCTTACGGAAGATTATCAAGGCTATTCACGAGTGATGTTCATCACGGACGCATATTCAGGTCTTGCTTTCCCATACTTTCTAAAAAGCCATGGACTAGGCAAAGAAAACCGAAGGATTCTACGAGACTTCTTCAACTGGATAGAGGTTCAGTACAGTTTCAAGCCAAAAGCCATACGATCAGACGGGGCGAACTATTCAGTAAGGAAGTTCGAAAAGAACTGAAACTTCGATCCATCGAATCAAAAAGATCAGCTCCGAATACTCAAGCCCAAAATGGGGGCGCCGAGAGATCAGGGGGTGTTATCATGGAAAAAGCCCGAACGATGCGAATAGCAGCAAACCTACCGCATAACTTATGGAAGGACATTGTGGAGGCTGCGTGCTATCTGCGGAATCGAACACCTCTTGAACGAAATAGATGGCAAAGCCCATTTGACAGAGTTTTTAAGAAGCAACCGATAATTAGTCATTTAAAGGCTTATGGTTGTAAGGCATTTGCAATGACAGCAGATGCCCAACTCAAGCTTCATAGAAAGCAAAAGCTTGAACCAAGAGCACATATTGGGTATCTCGTGGGTTACCAGTCCTCAAACATCTACAAAATCTGGGTTCCACACAAAAATAAGGTTATCTTAACCCGCGATGTTATCTTCAATGAGTCGGCTTTCTTTGACAACAAGATAGCTCAACCCGAACTACGACAAACCATAAGTCAGCTGCTGGAAGAAATTGAAATCCCAGAAGAACGGCAAGCTATGGAGTCTATACTTGAACAAGAAGAGTCATTGAATCATTCTGATGAATCGGATGAAGAGATTCTGGATGAGATCGTTGTGGACACAAGCATACAGGATGAGCCGGATGAGGAGGAGAATGAAGGCGCTTGTGACAGGTCAAAAGAACTAGGGTACCTTACGCCGCCACTGACAGACCCGGAACTTGAAAAGAGTCCGGAAGCTATATTCACAGCCAGCCTGCCAATTCGTCACCGATCCGGCCATCCTGAGGGGGTGGATAATAAAGGCCACAACTCAAACTGCTGCGACTACAAGGTAGAGCAAGTGAGTGCCAACTATCGATTCCACGAATTCCATCCGATTCGAATTGAGACAGCAGTTCATGGTGCATTTAATGCTGGAATTAAGTTTCAACCACATAAGAGAGACCTACCAGAAGCTCCAGAGACCATGAAGGACCTTGAAGGTCACCCATTCAAGAATCAATTTATCAAGGCACAAGAAGAACACCTTGCATCACATAAACAGATGGATTCCTTTGTTGAGGTACCTTGGTCACGAGCTAAAGGTCAAAGAGTCCTAAGCTGCATGTGGGTATTTACATACAAAATGGATAAGCACGGCCATCTCCAGAAATGCAAGGCGCGGCTTGTTGTGTGCGGGAACCAGCAAGAAAAGAATTCTCTCCCAACTCGTGCAACAACGCTAGCCAGTATGTCGTTCCGAGCACTGATGGCTATAGCCGCCGAACACGACCTTGAACTGGAACAGATGGATGCTGTCAATGCATTTGTAAATTGTGAACTAGACGAAGTTGTCTATATGCGTATGCCACCAGGTTATGAAAAATACGGCAGAGTGCTACAAAGAAAGCACTCTACGGCCTGCGAAGGTCACCACTGTTGTGGCAAAAGGAGTTGACAAAGAGCCTTCAAGAATTAGGTTTTCAATCAGTTCCGCAGGAGCCATGCATTATGACTAAAGGTCCCGTCATCGTATTCTTCTTTGTTGATGACATTATCTGGGCATACAGAAAAGCTGATCAAGAAATCGCCAAGGAAGCCATAGAAGGCTTGAAAAGTCGTTATAAGATGACACAGCTAGCGAGCCAAAGTGGTTTCTCGGTATTCACATCTTGAGAGACAGGCGAAACAGAACAATTTGGTTGACTCAAGACGCGTATATTGACAAAATAGCGCACAAGTTCTCCATTCAGCTAGAAGGCAAGGTGCCAACAACACCTATGGGCCTAGAAGAGTTACTGAAATCAGAGACACAAGCGACGAAGAAGTCAATAGAAGTCTACCAACAAAAGATTGGATCCATTTTGTTCGCAGCTATATCAACAAGACCAGACATTGCATTTGCAGTTAGCCGACTTGCACGGCATAATCTCAATCCAAGCGATATACACCACAGAGCAGCGGATAGAGTGATCCAGTATCTCTACTCCACACGGTCATATGCTATAAGACTTGGAAGAAATACTCAAAAGAGCAACAAACCAGTTGAAATTTTCATCGGCTCGAGTGACGCTTCATTCGCCGACAATACAGAAGACCGAAAGAGCTCACAAGGCTACGTACTAAGGCTATACGGCGGACCGATTGCATGGAAGGCATCGAAGCAGACCACCGTAACAACCTCAAGTACAGAAGCCGAGCTACTTGCAGCTTCGGAAGCATCCAAAGAGATGATAGCTGCAGGAATATTGTTCAAAGCTTTGAAAATTAAGCTAAATGAGCCTTTGCTATTGGAAATTGATAATAAGCAGACGATTAGGCTGTTAGTTGAAGAGTCAGCAAAGTTGACCACTCAGCTTCGTCATGTTGATATTTACCAGCACTGGCTACGTCAGGAAGTTCAAAATGAACGCATCAAAGTACGGTGGGTAGAATCGAAGGATATGGTAGCAGACGGGATGACGAAGGCATTGCCCAAGGTCCGACACATTGAATTCCTGCGGCAGTTACGAATTGAAGATATTCGAAGCCGTATTGGCATAGGAGCCAAGTTGGAAGAAGCTCGAAGCCAGTTGCAAGAGAGACTTCAAAACCCTGACAAGGAAAAAGACCTCGAGTTGAAGCTAGGTGCGAAGGGAGGCAAACAGGATTGCCGAGCCCAGGGTGCCCAGCCGTAAGATTGTGCTGACACTGAAGCTTAACAGAGGCAATAAATAGTCGTAGATGAGTTCTTAGGGAGAAGCTCATCTAAGGGGGTGTGTCGGATAAGGCTGCCTCTGTTGATTGAACAAGCAGACTTGACGTAATTGCTGGATGTCATAAAATCATTGATATCAGGAGTTTGAGAGGCTGGCCAGCCACCCTGATTTCATCAGGTGGCTGGGAAGTCTTCTAAACTAAAGATAAATGACATGAACCCTTCTGAAGGATGGAGAACAAGAACAATAATTTTTATATTCAAGAAATAAGCTTAGTTAATAATGAGTCTCATAACGTGACACAAGGAGAAAAAGAGAATTCCCAAGGACATCTCTGTCTGGAGCTATTTGCATAATGTCCACAAACTGAGACATTTATTGAACAGGGACGTTGCATGGCTCCCTCAAACTGACATATTCTAAGATCATTTGTCACTAATCCTGGCTGTCCCGATCATTTGCAAGATTTGTGGAACAGCTGTGTTTTCAATAGTGCTGGGAGTTAAATGCGCAAATTCAACTGAACGTAACTAGAGCTCCGCCTACGCATAAAAAAAGGAAGGAAAAAAATGTCAGACCTAGTAGTGCTGCTCAATCAAAAAATTCCCAAACATACGGAACAAAACCTTGCTGAACGAATTAGGCGTAAGACTGTCCACAAGATCCCACCCCTCCAACACCATGCGCTCTATTTCCTTG